CTAATCGTAAATTTTCGTAAGTTTACGCTCGCGTAAAAACTTGCGGAGGTTTACGCCTATTTATTTTTGCTAATGTAATAAAATATAAATATATATATTTATTTTTATTTTAAAATTATATTTAAAAATTTTATATGTTTATTCCTGTGCATTATTGCATGGATTACAACTAGTATAATATAAATAAAAATATTGCAAAAATATAATCTTTATTTTCAAATATTATTATATTAAGAGAAGGCCTATTTTCATTATAGTAGTTTGCTATTTCCACTATAGTTATACAAGATTTACTATTTTTAGCATTTATATAGTAAATTATTGGTTTTTTAAAATTAAAGAACTTTTTAATAAATAAACCTTTTTTCAATTTCAACTCTTTCTGACGATCACTAAAACCAAATTTTCCCACTAATTGAAAAACAAAATTTTGTTGGAGAGTCGTGGCCTATGTTGTCGTTTATCTAGAGGTCAATGTTTTTGTTTTGCAAGACTCCTCTAAAGAGATATTTGGTATGCAAGCCAGGAGTGTTACTATACAAGATAACTGGCAAGAGGTGCTCTTGTATATAAAATCTTGGTAGAGTGTGGGCAAAAAGTTTAACTTCGTCGATAAAGTTTTTAGGTTGTTACTTCAAAGAAGAACACAGGGGAAACAACAAAACTTTTTCTTTTCTAAAACCACACTCTTTCTTTTGGGTTTGGTGACTTTTCTCTTTCCTTCTCTTGCTCTCCCGTTAGTCTTCCAAAATTTTTACAAAAAGTGGAGATTTGGCTTACTCTCTTCAAAAAATCAGCATTGTTTACTTTCTAAATTCAGATGGACTCAGTATAATGCAACCACGTGACGTGTCTGTTTACAAGTACGGCGCTACTCTGGGGAAGTCGGATCGGGGCCTCCGGTTAAAGAGATATCTGAAAGCAATCATAAGTCAAAAGAACTTTCAATGTTAAGGCAAAGCTTAACACTAGAGATATACAATCATTGCATTTGTTATATAATTTTTTTAGCCTTGCACAGGTTATAATAGTGCATCCTGGTTATGAAGAAAGGTGCAATCCCTCTTAACTTTTTATCCTTGTTCTATAAAAATTTTTTTTTTATTTTTTCACATTTTTTCTTTTTTGGGTTTTTTTATTTTTTATTTACTTTGCTCTTTCTCTTTTCCCTCTTTTGCTCATTTTCCCTTTTTAATCATAGTTCATTTTCGTTTTTATAGAATTTTTTTTTTTTGGAGATAATTCCAGTCATCTGTGATCTGGTAGGATGGAGTCACAACTTAGGCCTGAGCTAGGTTTTCATACCACAATATGGAACCAAGTAGTACCGGACTTCTATCTTTATATTTTTATGTATTTATATTATTATAAATATTAATAAATAAAATGAGTTTTGGCCAGACCTGTCAACACAAAAAAAAAAAATAAAAAAAAATAAATAAATAAACCTTTCTTCTAGCTTTAAGTAAGATTGTAAAGGAGACTTTTCTGGTTCTAATAGTGGTTAGATAATCAAAATTGGCTTGGTGAATCCCAAAATATTTGGAATTAAAGACACGAATATAAAGATCTACAAATTTACTATTATATAAAGTATTATAGTCAAAGAATATACCATAAATAAATATTGAAGATTACACCTTTTATGGTATAAAGATATCGATCAGAAAAGTTTAGATTTCACAACATATGAGCACTAACCAATCAAATCAATCAAACATTCTATATACAAAATGAATAACTTATTATTAAACGAAACAACAAGCAAAGCTTCACTTTTATTAAGGATTCTAAATAGTAATTTTATTTTGCTCAATTATAACCGCATTACTAATTTATATTACAACATTTGATTTGTAATATTAAACAATTACTATCTGTATACACAGTATTATTTAACAATATCACTCGTACATCAATTCACAATCTAAAGCTACTTAAAATATTTCAAGTGTTTTCTTCTATATTGGCAATCATAAATAATACAATATGTAATTATTTTTATAATAAAACATAATAACTTTGAAAATTTTCATCTATGATAAAAATTTCCAAAGTTACTATGTTTTATTATAAAAATAATCACGTGTTGCATTATTTATGATTGCCAATGTATGAACTATATTGGTACTTATATGATAGTTAAATTAAAACTATAAAAGTTTTAGCATAAGTAAATTCATAACTCTTCGTTAAATATTATACAAAATCTTAAAACCATTTTAAGTTAACTAATGATGATTTTTGGCTTTTTATACAAAGTAAATACCTATTTTTAATGTCTCATTTATTTTTTTGACAAGAGTTAATTGGTGTTGATTAACTTTGATTAACTAAACTAGACGTCTCAAACTATATATTCAAAGCTTATTAAACTTGAATAATTATTAAAAAATTTTTTTTTAAATATAATGATATTTGAGAGGTAAAAGGTATAAGAATCAATCAAATTCAAGAATCTATTCGTAGATCATTTTAGAATGTAATTCCTAATTTGGGGTCATCTAAAGCAATGCAGAATCACATGACGATCATGATAATTGGCCAAAATCGAAAAGCAATGATTGGCCAGAAAAATAATCATCCAAATCTATTATTTTAATAACAGCAACTACTTAGTAGAATTTAATAAAATTTTTTTTATTTTAATTCTATGAATTGTAGAATCAAAATAAAAAAATTTTTATTAAATTTTATTAGGTGGTTGCTAATATATCTTCATTCAAAGTTATAACCATCTAATTAAATTGAAGCTACGCCAAAACTATTTAATGTTGAATGAAGATATCTCAGCAGCCACCTAATAGAATTTTTTTTTATTTTAACCTTACAAATTCTCAGAATCAAAATAAAAAAAATTACATTAAATTTTATTAGATAGTTGCTGAGATATTTTCGTTCAAAGTTCTAACCGCCTAACTAAATTGAAGCTATACTAAGACTATTTAAATTTTGAATGAAGATATCTCAGCAACCACCTAGTAGAATTTGATGAAATATTTTTTTATTTCATTTCTACAAATTTTCAGAATCAAATTAAAAAATTCTATTTGAATTTTATTAGGTGGTTGCTGAGATATTTTTATTTAGCATTTAAATAGTTTTGGCACAGCTTCAATTTAGTTAGACGGTTAAAACTTTAAGTGAAGTTATATCAGCAATTACTTAGTAAAATTTGATGAATTTTATCTCTACAAATTCCCGGAATCAAAAAAAAAAATTACTTTAAATTTTATTAGATATCTTTATTCAAAGTTTTAATCGCCTACCTAAATTGAAGCTGCACCGAAACTATTTAAATTTTGAACAAAGATATCTCAGCAACCACCTAGTAGAATTCAATGAAATATTTTTTTATTTCATTTCTACAAATTTTCAGAATCAAATTAAAAAATTTTATTTGAATTTTATTAGGTAGTTGCTAAGGTATTTTCATTTAGCATTTAAATAGTTTCGGCACAGCTTCAATTTAGTTAGACGGTTAAAACTTTGAGCAAAGTTATATCAGCAATCACTTAGTAGAATTTGATGAATTTTTTTTTATTTTATCTTTACAAATTCCCGGAATCAAAAAAAAAAAAATTACTTTGAATTTTATTAGATGGTTACTAAGATATCTTCGTTCAAAGTTTTAACCATCTAACTAAATTGAAGCTGCCAAACTATTTTAAATTTCAAATGAAGATATCTCAGCAACCACTTAGTAGAATTCGATAAACTTTTTTTATTTTATTTTTATGAATTCTCAGGATCAAAATTAAAAAATTTACATTGAATTTTATTAGGTGATTTCTGAAATATCTTCATTCAAAGCTTTAACCATCTAGCTAAATCGAAGCTGCACCAAAACTATTTAAATTTTGAATGAAGATATCTCAGCAACCACTTAGTAGAATTCGATAAAATTTTTTTATTTTAATTTTAAGAATTCATAGAATTAAAATAAAAAAAATCACCTGATTCTATCAGTGGAATCTTTATTCAATTTTAACCAGAATTTTATGATTCAATAATACCTTCATAAATGCAAGAATTGCAGATAAGTATTTATTATTATTATTATTTTTTTTATTTACAATTTTGATTCATAAACTACTTTGCTTATTTTGCTAATTGCTCTATCAAATTCTTCTACTATCACCTTGACCTTACAGAACCAATTCACCAACAAACCTTTATCTACTGTTCTGGCCCAGAGAGCACTTAGCCCACCCACCCACCCATTTTATTTACTGTTCTGGTCCAGAGGGCGCTTCATCTGCCCACTTACCCAATCAGGCTACCATTTTATTACTGTTCTGGCCCAGAGGGTGCTTTGCCCGCCTACCCACCTATCTGACAATTCTTTCAATTACTTATATTCAAATGATTAAATTGTAAAAAAAGTGAATCTATGGAGGCTTCTAACATTGAAACGAAAGCTTCTGCCCTCTTGATACTTTCACTTTCTACAGTATACCAATATTTGTCTCGGACTTTTTCGTTTATTTTATTTATAGTAAGTTTTAAATGCTTTTCTTTTTTTTGTTGTTTAGTTTTGGCAATCTCTTCAATAACTAACTTACGACGTTCATAAATATCGAACCTGCTCTCTTCAAATATCCTCTGAAATGTTCTCCATATGTCAGTAGTAAGTAATTTCATAGCACCATATGTGTGTTTGTAGAAAATATGCCTGCAAGATAAAAGGTAGCGATTGCAAAATAGACAGTGGCAATCAAGTGAAGTCAGGCTCAGTGCTTCTTTCTCTTTTTAAGTCTGCTCATAACAGCACTAGCTTCTTTTACTAATAGCTGTTGAAAAGGGTAAAGAAACTTATAAATTTCCTCAATAATATCGCATGCTATACCATATGCAGATATTTTCTTGATGCGAAAGTCAAATGCAACACTTTTGAAATCAGATCGTTTCTTATTATCAAGAGCAACAATGTTATGAACTGCACCTAAAATAAAATAAAAACTGAAAATACTCAGTGTTGAGGTATATAATATTTAGACAGAAAGGCTTAAGCACTTCTAGTAATAACAATT